CGGGGCTACATCCATGTCACATCCAGCCTTAGTAAAGCCCAGATATTTGGGGGAAGACAGTTTGTTCCAGGATCTTCCCCCAAAAGACAGCATCGACAATTCCAGTTTTGAATCCCTCCATCCTACACAATCTCAGCAGGCCTAGCTATGATGGGTCTATACTCCCTCTTATACATTCACAGGTGTGCCACACAAGCCCTCGTTTTGTACCATTTTGGCTTCACATTACTATAGACACTTTGAATGGAAAAATACAAAAGGAAAAAAAACCTGCCTGCACAAAACTTGTCTCAGAGGAAACCAGGAGATCATGCAAAAGGAAATCTTTGGTCAAGTGCTGCAACACAATCTACAGTGTGGCTGCAACCCATCTGTCCTGCAGCAGCTACTTCTTAACAGGACAGACACAAGCCAGTCCATGTCAACTGACCCTTGGTGACTCTCGGTCCTCTTTTTTTTCTGGAGGCATAGACATGGATAGACCCCCAGTGACTCTTGGTCCTCCCTTTTTGGAGGGATAGACACGAACCTTTTCTAACATTTAAGAATTGTGCAAAAGCAGTGCATACAAATGTAAGCCTAGAGCGTATAAAATAAATGTTAGAAAAAGCAATTACTTGTACTTATGGTTTCCACTAGAATGGAGATGCTATGTCAATCCCTGTATAGCATCCACAGAACTTTTCTCATTTATTATTAACATTAGAAAAGCCTAAAAATTCAGAGATGTGCATGAATGCCATCCTACCAAAATAACTTGAAACATCATTATCACATAGCTTAAGTTCTAGCCACCTTCTGCAAGGGAAGAAGCATTTCTTGCGCCTCATACTGTATCTCCCACTCACCAGACTAATATCTAGGTTGGTATATGTTATTTTATTCTTATTTAACTTCACTACCTCTTAGCCTTCTGTTCCCTCACCACTCCTCAAAGGCATTGAATCAAGATTCACAGTGAAAAAGCAAGTACACACTCTGCTATGCCCTAAAAGGTAAGGAAAACATTGTAACAATGCTTGATAGGAAGCAGTACAGAAGTGTTGCAATTTGTACTATTTAACTTGACATGTTCTAAAAGATTCCAATTTTTTTGGAACATCTGAAAATTATCAATAGATATTTCTGTTACTAGGCAACACTTACCACAGTACAGAACCATAGAATTGTAACAGACATTGAAAGGCTCCCAAATATGAACTTTTCCCATCTCTTTAGCTCAACTGTGGACAAGTATTTCCCTCCTCTTTTGGAGAGAAACACAGACTTATAACAAAAGCACCATATAAGGCTAGAAACAATGTCTATTACTGAAATACATATTGGAGGTGGGATGGAAGATCATGATGGGGAATTCGTGCTCAGATTTTAAAACATGGGGTTTTTTTTTAAATACCAGAAGTTGGAAAAGGAGCTCATTTTGAAGTACAATGTAAAGAGATGTTTTAGTATTAGAATAGCCATTCTTTAGATCAAACATTAAACCAAAGCAATTTAGATGTTCTATCTGAAATGGTTTGAAAAATATTTAAGTGGACAACCACAACTTCCTAACAAATATTCCACTTGCCTGTAATAGAACTATGGATTTACATTGTCTAAAAAAGCAAGAGCTGTCATTACCATCGTTATATGGAAGGACTGGGCAAAACTGTAGCAGAAAAGTCATGCGACTTTTCTTTGGGTGCTTTTTCTTTATTTGAGTGGCCAGTTCTCGCACAGCCTTAAGTAATTCTGCATGACTGCTGTCCATGACAAATTGCTCTTTAAAGGAAGAGCTTTTCAGTTTGTAGAGTACGCAGTGTGACTAATTTGCACGAACTTTTAAAATCATAAAATTATTAAGTAGGGGCAGTTTTTATAATGAATATGCAACAGTTGCTACAAAGACTCTAATTTAAAATGAGCATGACTTCATGAAGTATTCCAGCCCGGACACACGTCTGACACAGGTGACGTAAATATATATACATTTATAAGTACACACATACACACACACACATACACATTCAGATAGAGAAAAAGAGAGAGAGATGCTTCATCTCATGAACGAATGCAGTCATCTTAAAGTACTTAGGATTTCTAGTGCTAGCCTCATTTTAATAAAGGAGGAAAATGTAGCTCTGAAGATCTCCAGAGGGAGACACAGATGACTAACGTTAACTGCCCATTTCTCTCTGCTATAAGGAACTGAGGGGAAACATTAGCTGTTTGTTCCGTTTGGATCCAGTCCACCAGTTCCTCTTTCAGGCTAAGGCATACAACAGCAATAGACTTCAAAAATAAAGAGGTGACAACAGTGGCAGTCCAGTGGCAGTGGGGAGTCCATGACACTTGCTACCCTCTCCACCCACCCTGTCAATCCCCTTCACACTTTTTGAGTGTGAGTGTTTCTCACTGCTGAGAAACTTGAACAGTTGCCAAGAGAGACAGGAGAGCTGTGTTAAGTTTTCACTTTGAGGCAATTGCACCCCTGGCTGTGCAGCCCAGCTTCATCAAGGTAAAAGGGGAATGCCAAAAGATTTGGTCTTTAACTGGTGAATGCTAAGATAATCATACAGTCATAAAGTAATTCAGGTTAGAAAGGAGCTTAGGAGGCCTCTAGAGCAAACTCCTGCTCAAAGCAGAGTCAAAACTGAATTCAGACCAGGTTGCTCAGGGCCTTGTCGAGTCAGGAATGTAATGTCTTACTGTGTTCCTAGACTTCAAAACCCAAACAAACATCAGCAACATCTTTTCATGGTTTCTGAACCTGAAATGACTTGGCTTGAATATTAGTCAGCAACGGTCTTAATTCTGCAGAAATGAATGGTATGCTCAACAACATGTTTTCCAAAAATTACTACTTCAAGGTCAAGTAAGGTTTTAAATCTAATCAAGTAGTCTTTTAAATCTAATTTTAAATAATACCCGAAGCCACAGATTATTCTTTGTCAGATATCCTTCCTTAGACAAAAGGAAATTCAAGGTACAAGTGCTAAAACACATACAATAAAAGTATGTCAACTATATAGCACATATACTTTAAAAGTACATGCTTTGAAAAATATTTGTTTAGAGGGAAATGATGAGAGCAAGCCTGTGGGATCTGCAATTACTGCTTAGGCTACATATCTGGGAAGGAGGGCTTAGGTTCCTGCACCAAGGACTGTATGTTGCATTGAAAATACTAAAAAATGTAATCCTTAGGCAGTCCTTGAACCATTCCTCTGTTGGGAAGATGTATAATCACGAGGCTATAGAGTCAGGGTCCCTTCTTTGCGTCAATGCTTCTTCACTGTAAAACGGCTTCACTGGGAGAGTGAAGAGTGCATTTGCCCAAGTTAACCAATACCTCAGTGATCATGGCATCCTCCTGGACTGGTAGGAGATACAGTCTGAAGTTTTCTAAGCTAAGAAGGGCCTGAAATCCAGCTCATCTACATCCTGAACAGCTGCTAAGATAGTACATAAGGGAGGCACTCAAGCGTTTCTCCTTGAAGTCATGCATATCACTGTCCTTCATAAACTACCCACCTAGAAGGGTAGGTATACATTAATCACACACTCTGAAAATAACCAACACATTGAGCCCCTCAGGTGATAAAAGCACAGAAAAGCCTAGTTTGAGGTCCTGGTTTCACTTAACCGTAACTTAAGCCCAGTTCTTGTGAAGACTGAAAATTCTGGGGATTCGTCAAGTATACCCGAGGGATTTCTTTTCCTCCCCTTTTCTTTCTCTTTTCTGTGGGTGGAGAGAAGGAAGAGGCAATAAAATCCCAGGGGAGAGAATTCAGCCCTCCCTTAAGGCAAATACAGCTGGTTCCTGAGCTCTACAGAGTATACAGCTCCAGGTCAGGAAAGTAATATAGCATACTAGACCACCACGGTGCAAAAGAGAGAGCTAATATACAAAAATTGGAAGGAAGAGAGGCAGAAAAGAGGGAGAGAGAGCTCTCTTTGCACATTTTACCAATGATCTCCTGATCAGGACACCCATTCAGAGCTATGTTAGGCAGGCTACACTGATCTCCAAGCAGGTAGAGAGAAACTTGTTTTTAGCATAATACAAAGCCTAAATTTCAAAAGAAGATTCATAGAGGTTTAGGACCTCAGAGTCAACTTTGCTACCCATTTTATGACCCTAGACAGTTGTTCACAATTAATCATTTCACCTTCACAGTTTAAAAACAAGAGAGCTATCAGAAGGACAATGTCCTAAGCCTGTAAGGGGAAATTAACATTCTATCCCGCCCAACAGAGTGATCATTAAGGCCGTAAAAATACATTAATGGACAAATGACTAGACCTAAAGACTTTGCCCTTAGCATGTGTGAACTGGATACCGCTTTCCTTCACATACAACCACATATTCTCACTCTACCATTTTCCCAGATCCTGACCAATTTCTGCATCAAGTTATGCCTTGTTAACTCAGAGGAAACTCATGAGTACGCAGGGAAATTGCTGAAAGGCTATGCTGCCAACAGCCTCCAAAAATATTTACCTGATAGCATCCTGTTGTGCGTTAGTACCACTGAAATTCAAGCCAAACTCAAAACTGTTTAAGCCCATAAAACTAGAGCAAGACTTGACCCTAAAATGTAGCTCACAAATGAATCACCCAAATATTTCTATTAGAACAAGACAAAATAATATGGACAGAAATACTGGAATAACAAAATTGCTCTTTTGTAGCACTTCACGCATTAAATTTGCACTTTAATATCTAAATTAAAGACGTTTAAGAGGAAAGCCAAGTCAGTGGTTTACAGGTTTTATCAAAGCATCTTATTAAAACCATTTCTTAGTTTTTTTCAAAGACATTTTCAGTAAGCCACAAATTCCAAAAGCAATGCAGCTGCCAATCACCAACACGATTTAATACTCTTTCTTTGAAAGCATAAAAGCATCAGGAAGAACTAAAAATTAAGAGATAACTTTATTATGTGCTCAAACTGATCAAAGATGAAAATTAAGAAAAGCATGAACGAGTTTGGAAATAAAAGTAAAAGATTTACCTTGAAAAGCAGCTGCATTACGAGATATTAAAAATTTTAATGCAGCGCTTGATGTTTGAAGGACTTGCTGTATATCCTGCTTTGCTGCAGTCTGATATCTTTCTTCCATCTTTTTGGTACAGCATGTCGGGTTTTTAGAAGAACAAACCTGGAGATCAACCCCTAGAGAAAAAAAATTACAATGGAAAATAGAAGTACACAGTGTACTAAGACATATAACATAGCGGAATTCTTCTTTTTCACATAGGTATATATCCATAAAAGAATTACCCAAAGCTTTCAAGACATCTTGTCTTGTTACCCAAAAAATAGATGGGGGGGGGGGGGGGTTTTTAAAAATTTCTGTGGGAAGAGTAAATTTATTACAGTTAAGTAGTGTCATGTAATACAATTCTTCTGACGCTGTAATCTCATTCCAGCTGGGAATACTGCTAACTAATGGAGGTAAAATACATTGGATATATATTCTACATCCTCGAGAATACTGAACTGCTGGGCTAGTTCATGGCTGGCACTCTCATGTCTCTGTAAATCTTGGACTGAATGGAATTAGCTACTGCAAAATGTTAAATTACAAACACAATAGTGGAAAGCTTACTCCTGATAAGTAATAATGAACATTAACTAATAAAAGTTAATAATCATATTAACTTTTATACATCCTAAATTTGAGTCTAATCTCTCTTTTATGACCATTTACTGTTTTATTCTATAAAGTCTGTACACTCCTACATATCAGATAACATGCCAGTTCAGTACTTCACTAATAGATTGGGAAATATTCATTGAAATGAACACTATTCAAATTTTTGGCATGCCAGAAGTCAAGAGGGGCAATTCACAATTGTTATGACAGCTCTCAATTTCATTTTTTAGAACTGAAGTATAATCAAACATGAAAATATCTTATTTCTCTCCCTTATTATCATGTAGCGTTTAAAAATCTTCTTTGTAGCATATCTAAGCATTGCTTTCTAAAATGAAGAAATAAATATTCCAATAAAGAAGAAAGAAGTCAAAATTCAAATCACATTAATACTAAAATTTAACTACCCAATCCAAATTCTGTTCTCAAATATGCAGTTTCACTGATGACTGTCAGCAAGCTTCTAGCAGATAGTGTAAGAATTTTTTTTTCATTTGTTCTGTAGACAACATTCAAATTCTGTACCTGTGTGCATACACATGGTTCTTTCTTCATAATTGGCAAAATAGAAGATGATGACAGCAAGAAAAAAAGCACCAAGTTCTGAAGGTAAAAAGTACATTTGCCTAGCCCTTAGCTCTTATACTCACTTTCAGCTTATCCCATCTCTTCTTTCTTACCTTTTATTTCCCTAGCACTAAATCTACAAGATTAAACATTCCTACCTACCTTTTAAATCATTTTTCTAATCCTCTAATAAACCATTCTAAGGTAGTATGAAGATATGTAGAGTGAAAGCCAGCCCTTACACATTTTGCAGTCTGAATAGTCCATTAGTTATCTTATGTAAATTCGGTGTTTTAAATATATTTTCCAAAAAGCTGAGAAAGAAAAGATAAGTTACAGAGGACTGAGTCAGAGTATTCCTGAAGGATGGAAAAGCGTTTAAATTCGTTATATCAAACGTACCCCCTTTACACCAGAACGAATCAAGTAATAAGTCTTCTGAAATCATTAGATTTATTTCGGATGTACATTAGTGGAACAACAAATTTTAACCAACACCTTTAAAGCACCTGCATTAAAAACTAAGTAGGCATCTACATGTACTAAAACATTCCCTGAACATTACAGAATCAAACCAAACAGTTTAGCTTATCCCCCTTCCCTAGAGGAGACTAACACCATAATGGATAAAAGATATATGCAAAAAATGGTCTTAACTATTTTAGCTCCCTCTAAGAACAAAGATGGATATTATCCATGTGGGAAAACTTGTAATATCAAAATGCACCAGATTCAATATCTACAGTTCTAGCTAGGTGTAATCAGGCATGTCTCAGTTCAAAATAGGACAATTTTGTTTGTTTCCCCACCTGTCAAATACAGTACAACAGTGAACTGAAGACATTCAGGCTCTCAAAACCAAGAAAGTATATCTTTTTTCAGGATGAATCAGATCCACCTTACCCCATTATCAAACCATTTCCTAACTGGAATAGCAGAAGTTTAGTTGTTCTTAAACACAGCCTACACACATGCAGTTTCTCACAGTCACTCAGCATGCAAAAAACACCCTTCCTGTCTAACCTGGCTACCTTTGGATCACCTGTAAACAGCTACTGCAGAGTAAACCATGATAATTTCTGGGTCCCAAAGAAGTTTGCCACACCTGCTGTTTAAATTTGCACTGATAACCTCCTCCGCACCATACCCATATGCCTACCAGAAAGAAAAAAGCCAACAGCAGGGACCGTGAAGCAGAGTGAAGCCTCGAGCAGCCCTGCTGCAGTCACTATTATAAAGAGATTTCATACACATACAAAAAGTGCAGGCTATGCAAAAAAGACTTGACAAGCAAGGTTTGTCCCATTATCCATGTGTTGGCTGAAGCAGTCTTAATTCCCTAGCATTCCCTAAGCCTGGGTTTTCACATCAACTACACTGTGGGAAAAATTCTTACTGTTTACACACAGCAATGCCTATCCTGAAACAGCAATTGCTTGCATTATATTTAGATGGGTCACAAAGCTCCAGAAGATCCTGCAGAAGTTACATTTAGAAAAGCATAATGCCTTAATGAAATAGGTAAATGGTACAGGCATAAAGCAGAAGTAGTTTATCCAAAGTCCTAGATGAAAACTTGTCTCTACAATACTACACAGAGGTAATTTGATTCCCATGACAAATATATAAACTTCCTTTGCTAATTGCAGCTAATATGGGAAGACAGATCTCAGATTTGCTGAATATTTCCTTGTGGCATGGGTAGTCTCCATTTTTACAATTCCTTGCCTGTCTGCAGCTGTGGAAGGAGGATACACTTTAACCTACAGTATTGAATACTGTAGGGGTCTCTTCACTTCTAAAGGATCTGCTCTTCTTCATGCTTTAGGTCATATGATGTGAGTTTTTAGACAAAATTAATTCATTTTAGTGAGGACTGCTGTTCAGAAACTGATAATCTGATACAACTTTACAAAGACAAATGTTTGACCTCATATATACAAGAACAGTTTACTGCCCATGGTAATAGAATGTACCTTGAAATAAATCTATTTCACAGACATAAGCAGAAGTAAATCTCATTACACCAAAGGAAGAGCACTGGATACTGTAGAAATCCTACCACCATGCAAAATTCACACATCTGAGATTCCCTTCATGGTAGCATGCAAATGCAAGAACATAACCTCTGGATGCAAAAACAGACTAAGGCAAGAGACATCCCTGTAAATCTCTTTGAAGTGGTTTTCAATGAAACGTTAACACATGGTGATTAGTACACCCACAAGCCACAGTCCAAGAAGCTGGAAACCTTCACTATCAGAGAGAAAGGTAAAATGTTATTCTAATGCAGATATGAATCACTGAACTTCTTCAAATATTAAGAAATATTATTTCTGAGGTGTTCTACTATTGATGCAAGGTATCTTTTCCACAATACCCTTTCGTGTTTTGGAGGGCTGTTAATCTTCATCATTTATTTTAAATATGTAATTTCCATACTCTGTGTTTGAGTATGTAAGTTTTTACAACTTATGAACTAAGTAAGACCTCCCAACCAGCTGCCTCTGTAAATCTTTTTCCTTGTGAAAATTTAGATGTCGCATCTTCAGACATTCCAATTCAGCATAAGAATGAAAATAAAATTCTAAATTAAGGTAGTCTATTAAATTACGTTATTTATTAGCTGCTCCAGTATCTATGTTCTGCACAACAATGAAAATGGTTAGGGTCAGAGTCAGCCTTAAACGGATTTGCCACCCAGGAACACTAAAGAAGCTCTTAAAATAATTTTTATTACAAGCATTAAAAAGTTAATTTACCAGTCTCCTGCTCTACCACCTCAGAATCCACATAACTACCTACATACAGCCTCCCTCTCCTCCATCTCCTACTTCGCGCCCCAGACCTTCACACCCTGAACCAGATTTCAACCCTGTGACCCCACTAACTCCAACCTCCTAATCCATACCAGCTCTCCAAATTGAGTCCCTGTGCTGCCCATCACCTCTGTCCTCCTACAGCATCTGCACCTCCTCAGGCCAAGACCACCCTGCAGCTACTGGAGTCCCCTCTGTTCGCATTCTGTTTTCCCTCCCAGGCCAAGCCCCAGTGCAGGATACAGCAAAGCAGATGTAGAAACTGTAGCATCACATATGAACGCTACAGCATCAGTTAGCTGCTGTGGTTACAGGCCTTTCTGCAGGTGGCAGTTGCCACAGAGCAGCTAAAATTCCATGACAAATGAAAGAAGGAGAAGGGGCAGGAATGGACCAGCTCCTTGGATCCCAAGCAACCACTTGAGATGCTTGTACTTCAAGCTGGCCACACCTAGGATTTAAATAAAGCAGACAAAGCTGAAACTTCAACTGCATGCAAATCTGTTTTTCTGCACCTATCGTTGTCACTCTTTCTAAATAAATGACATAAGTTAAAAAGCTAATTTTTTTTATTACAGTCGTGCTGATGGCTTCAGTAAACTTCGGTCCTGGAAAGAGACGGCAGGTTACACAAGGAAATGGCTTAAGGGAACAGTCAAGTGATGCATGATGCAAATCAAGAAATGCAAGGATTACAGCTATGTTAACACAAATTCTTCCAGGAGTGAGTTTTGTCATGCTGAGTGTACATAAAACACACAAAATTTCATGCGCAATAACCGCTATGCAAAATATGTCTAAGTCGGCATTGTTTATGGAAATAAAACATTGCAAGTTTCTGTTAATCCTTTTAAATTATCTTGCTTATGATTAGATACACTTACTGTCACACTGAATACTAATTAATTTAAATATTAGCTACGTTAAGTGAGAATTTTAAAATAATATACTGTGGAAACAGCAGCAACAAACTGGACTAACATACCACCCACCTGCAAACAAATTAAAGGAATGATAATAAGCCTGCAGCAGTATTTACTAATCATACTAGAAAGGTCTATCCACAGGTATGACACACAGTTCACTCTCTCCAATCTCATTTTTTTATTCCCAAAGAAATTATCACACAGTGCACATCACAGTAGGAGACAAGTCAAGGTATACTCCACATTATGCCAGCAGCAATACACCTGACAAACATCAAGAAAAAGAATGTTTATAATGATAGCAATATTCACACTATTACAGTACAACAGTCTTTTTTTTTTTCTTTTTGGTATTGAATATTATGTTCTGTTTGCAACAAAAATCAAGTTAGTTGACTGATTAAAAAAAGTCAAATAGTTACATAATCCTGTGACTGACATTCTGTGAAAAGTGAGTGTTAGGGACAATTTTATTAAGTTGCCTGGACACATTTCAATGCCTTAACAATTTCAGACTTTCTATATTCTTTATTTATTCCCCTGTATGTGTTCTTTAGGTTCTTTCCTGAAAAGGAGGGGGTTTGTTTATGTGTGCTTATTTAAAAATGGATTCTATATTTAAAAATATTTTTTTATTTGTCCAGATTTTCTCTTTCCCAAACTCAACACAAAGCAGCACACAGCTCAGAAAGAAAGAGTAAGTCTTATAACCTGAATGATTAGTGTTGGTCTAGTGGTCTTAAGCTGACAAATTAGGCAATTTTACCACAAAACTTTGCAGTGTTTGGCTTTTCTTAAAACTCCATTTCTGCTGTTCTACGAAAGACTTAACCTTCATTAAAAAATCAACAACAATAATAACAATAATAATAAATATTGCTACTAAAACTCACATTTGGTAATTAATATATCCATTAATTTAACTACAGTTGGACGAGGACTCGACAATGGAAACACTCTATTAAAACAATATTTCCGTCTGAGATGGCCCCAAGAAATAGAAGCTGAAAAGTCAGGCACAAATTCATCATTTCATCAATTCACCTGATTAGAATAACATCTGGATCCAATTATGACCCCGTACATTGCTGAAATACTTGTGGCTACTAGAAATTACGGAATGCAATATGCATTAAACTCACGTCTGACCTCGTCCAAAGCCTGTAGATAAGACATCTGCCTTTGTCAGGAAACATGCTTAGCACCTACTCAAGAGACTGACGCAGAAC